GTATATATATATATATATATATATATATATATATATATATAAACACATACATAAATATATATAGACTAATCATTTGTAAATAATTGCTAGCTAGCATGTAACACTTTGAGATGCTTTCTCTCAACAGAATCTTTTCCTTTTCTCATCATGATCCCTTTCAGGGGGAAAATAAATGCATACATTTTGTATTCATCAAGAAAAAAACCCCACTATTACACAATGTGACAATGAAATATAATCTTTACACCTTCACGACACAGACAGTCATCAGATTTTTTCAGTTCTCATGGTTGATGGATGGTTATCAGATTCTTTCAGTTATTCTGAAGAATGATGGATAGTTATTAGATTCTTTCAGTTATTCTCAGGGCTGATGGATAGTTATCAGATTCTTTCAGGTATTCTCAGGGCTGATGGATAGTTATCAGATTCTTTCAGGTATTCTCAGGGTTGATGGATAGTTATCAGATTCTTTCAGTTATTCCCAGAGCTGATTGAAAATTATCAGATTCAGGTATTCTCAGGGCTGGTGGATAGCTATCAGATTCTTTCAGTTATTTTCAGAGCTCATTGATAATTATCAGATTCAGGTATTCTCAGGTATGATGGGTAGTTATCATATTCTTTCATCTATTCTCAGGCTGACAGTTATCAGATTCATTCAAGTATTTTTAACTATCCATCAGCCCTGAGAATATCTGAAAGAATCTGATAACTATTCTTATTTTGGTTATTCTCAGAATTGAAAGATAGTTGGGATGTTCAAACTTTCTTTTTTTGTGTGAAATAGCAAAATATTATTTAAAAAAGAAGATAACAGAAGCTGTACTATTTTGGCATAGCTCTGAAAAAAACAAACATTTAATTGAATAGACAACATTAAAATTAAAATTGTTCATCAGGAAACGGAGTGATAATTTCCTTTTTAAACATGGTGAATCTAAGCCTTTATCTAAAATGATCATAATTCCCACCCTTCATTAACCTAGTGCTGTTGCTTCTAAATACTCTATAGTCTTAACCCTTCTGTGACTGAGGTTATTTACACCCATTAGCGACTGAGCTGGTCTGACAAGATTATCTTACTGTTTCTTCAAAGATCATAGATTGCATTATTTACAAATTGCCAATTTCCTTTTCATTACTCACTCATTTTACAAAAACTAAATTAAAGCATAGGGTGTTGTATATAAAACTTTCATAAACCATCATAAGAAACAACAACAATCTACTTTTATTATAAACCTATCCTTAAAACTGAAGATTCTTTTATTTTTATAAGTTTCCCAATATTATTTCCACTTTGTTAAGTGTAGGGCATTATATAAAGGTTACGCTTCTTCCACAAAAAAGCTTTTGACTAATACTGGAATATATATATATATTTATTCAATTAAGTTAAAGTTAAATCCTCGGTTACCCATTCCCCTCACCCCCTGGATGGGATGCAAGCCCGTCGTAGGTTAACATCCAGCTAACAGCTTGGTAGACTGGTGGGGTGAAGTGTCTTATTCAAGGATACAACAGCACGCTTGAACATGAAACTATCCAAAGCACAGCCCTCTGAGTAAAACACAGCATAGAAGGAACTTGATGTTTGAGTGCACTTTTAACAACACTTCCATGTATGTTTGAAGTGTTCTCCATCTTTTCTTACAATAAAAAAAACTCGGGTGAGAATATTTTTTGTTTTTAGTGATTTTAACATTATAGTATTGGCAATCCTAATTTCAAAAAACACCTTTAAAAATTACTTAAAAGGCCAGTGGCAGAGTAAGGTTTCACAGAATTATGGGCAAAAACCATTGCTGGGGTAACCTCATTATCCCCCTCAGTCACAAAAAGGGTTGTTCAGAAACTATGTTAAACAAACCTTATTAGTAGTATTGTTAGAACCGTATTGTTAACAAGAGTTTGTTCAGAAACTATGTTAAACAAACCTTATTAGTAGTATTGTTAGAACCTTATTGTTAACAAGAGTTTGTTCAGAAACTATGTTAAACAAACCTTATTAGTAGTATTGTTAACAATACTGTAATAATTAAATGATAAAAACACTAGTCTAGGGTCTTTTTTTTGTTAATTTTAAAACTAAAAATATCATGTTCATTATTATTAGCATAAACTTTTCATTTGTTTAAATAAGTTATACTATATTATCTTACCATTTCATTAAGTTTCTAAATCACCTGATGAGAAAGATGAATATTTGATTTCAAAATAAAAAAACAAAATTCAGCTTTTCAACTCTTAAAAATAAAACTGAAACTTTGTATTTATTGTGGTCTATATCAATGCATTAGCTTCAAAAAATGTGGTGCACCATGGATTGTAAATTATTTGTTTTTTTCTGCATTGTATTGATGGACATGGCTTGCATCTCTCCCTCCCAAGTGATAGAACACAACAACAGTACAATAACAACAACAGCTTTTGCTTTCTTACTTTACAAACTTGGCACAGGGTTATAACATATATTTCTGCTGCACTCTTACATAGAGAAGACTCAATGTTGACCAGAATTATACAAAAAAAACTACACATTTCTGAATTGTGATCTTGCTAAACTGCAAATCTAAATTTGTTTAATACCCTGTCGAATTTCACCATAACAAAGCATACATGGCTAACTACACAACTTAAGAAACAAAAACAAATCACAGCTGATAGAGAAGTCTATCCTTCTGATGAACTCATTACTTTGTGAATGATTATCGAAAGAGTCATTAAAGAAAGTAGCAAAAAAACAGATTATACAAAGACAAATACAAGTTATTTAAGAGTGAGAAAGAAAAAAACAAAATAACAACGATCAAATGTAATGCTGTAGGATGTTATCACACAAAGTTTACAAAACCCAACATCCAAGGAATAAAAATAGTAATTGTGAGACCGTAAGCAAAGGGCAAAGAAGGAAAGGGGACTTTCACTATAATAAAAGAAAATATCAGTATCACACACCCAGCACAAGCTATTTGGCATAAGCCTATCTTTCTCTAGTAAATTAACATATTCTTTAACAAAAGTATAGCACCAATTCCTGCAGTACCTTGTGATCATGCAGGTCTTTAACCCAAGCTTCTGGTGACAACAGAATGCACTATTCACTTCAAGTTCCCTAACATTACAATTTCTTCAGTTTAGAGTCACTCTGATTCTTATGTACTCATTAGTCACTCATACATGTATACAGGCACACTTATAATCCAAATTACACAATTTACATATTTCCTGGTGTCTTGGACACCATCAATTGGTAAGCTAACAAAAAAAATGTTGTCAAACGTGTTGGAAACTGAAGCAGTAGGTCATACATTTCATCAGATTCTTTAACTCCTCTGAAAAAAAGAAATAAAGCTCAGATATCTATACATGTTTCTTTGTCCTTTGAAATACAATATACAGGTTGTGCACAGCTGGTAGCACATTGAAGAGACAAAATTATCTATCTGAGAGTAATCAAATATATTCACATCATCATCTGAGGCACTCTGAGAGTGGGCCACAGCTAACTCTGAATCCGGTTTTCTGGGAGTGACTTTTCGCCCACAACCTCCGTTTCTCCCAGATGTTACCCTGCAGGGGTGATGACAATGACTACATATCACATTCCTTCCACAGAAAGACTTTCTAATTACTGAACTTGACCGGTGGTCAGACTCCACTGGGGGAACCATTAGAATGGTCTTGATTGGTAGTTAGGTCACAATAGCGTGGAGGTGGGTCCACTAAATTAAAGAATGATTGCATTCTCCCGCCAGAATTACATCTATTGTCCAAACTGCTGCTAGTGGCATCTCTGTTATTGGTTATCCTACACTGCGGAGTTGAGCTGGTGTTACAGCTTTCCAGTTGATAACTAAAGAGATTATGGGGAACATTAATATTCACACTAACACTGTTTGAACGTATGACTAGGGGATTCATGTCTGAAGTTCGTAAGACTGGTGGTGTACATGGCTTTGATAGGAGACTTACAGAGTTTGACCGATAAGGAGGAGGACTCTCCCCTTCTGACACTATTCTGTTTGGAGGTGGTTTTATCCAGCTTCTAATGATTTCATTGTCCTGATTAGGATCATGGAAGTGGAGAGATTTGGAACTGTTGTAAGGGAATTCTTCACCATCAGGTAAAGTAACTGTGTGAGGTAAACCTAGGTTAAAGTCCATCTGTACAGATTGCTGTCTAATATGTTGATTCTGCAGGGAGACGAGCTCTAGCCTTTGACGTTCCTCTATATTGTCAGGAGTATACAGCACCTGTATAAAGTAATTACAAGAACACGACAAATTATAAGTATTGTACAATATACAGAAATGATAAAAAAAACCCATCAAACAATTTAAATATTATCTTTGATATATGCTTTAACTTAATGTCTTTATTAACTAATTATTACTTAAGGGAATAAGTGGAATCCGAATGAGTAAATTAAATAACCCTAAGAAATGTTCTAATAATTTTCTACATAAAAATTAACAGTCCAATAAAAGCAGGTGAAATGTGAAGGGTATGTGTCTGAAAAATTTGTTCAGGGCATCTCAGTTTTTATTTTGCACCTTTAATAGATGTGTGCAGTGTTTATATATTGTGTTTAAAATAAACATGGACGATACAGCCATTAACAATTTTGAACAAACCTAAACACAGAGATCTTTCAAGACAAATACGCGAGTTGCATTTCCGACTTTAGTAAGCATCTTGTTTGTTCCAACAATCATCGTTACATTTAGTAATTACAAAAACCTCACGCTTAAACATTTTCAGTGTTAACCATAATTCTTTCTGTATTACAGTTGACTCCATTTTTTCCAGAAACATAAGACTAAGTTTTCATGAATTAGGCAAGGCTCCATAATTTCAACTTTTTTTAAAAAACGTTTCAAGACTTTTAAGTATATCTGAGTTGATTCTTATACAGAACAAATATCTTTACTTCACCAATAACAACAGCTAAAGTTAACACCTTGAATATCAAGTAATACTATTTAGTGCTTATAGCAGTGAACATTTCTTTTTTATTATAATCTAACCTATATTAAAGTCAGTGTGTGTCACGTCACGTTACCTAACCTATATAAAAACCAGTGTGTGTCACGTCACGTCACTAACCTATATAAAAGCCAGTGTGTGTCATGCCACACTTGATTTCTCAAAATAGAAGGAGTAATAAAAGCCAAAATGCATTTATCCAGATAGAATTAGTTTGATTACTGTCTGCTCATTATGATTTTAGTGACAGGAGTGCAAGGGGGCCTTGACGGTGGATACTGTGAAACCTTATAAGTGTAGTGAGTGTTGTTATAATAAGCCTAAAGTAAAGAAGTAGTGTGGGATCACCTAGCCTAGAGCCAAGTGCACAAAATTTATCATGTAAGTAAAAATATCAATTCAATTTTAAACTTAAATCATTTCTGAATTAAGATATTTTCTGTTACATCACCAACATTTTAAATAAAAACAAACCTCTTTAATCAATGGAGACTCTAAATTAAAAAAATCAACAAATATTTTTTTCCAGTTTTCTTGTTTATAAATTTCATTTTATACTTTCAGTACATAGACTAACAACAATATTATGTTATATTTTTGTTGCTAAGCAACATAACATAAAAGCCATTGTTGGAAAGCAGTGTTATCAAAATGCACTGGCTTTTCATTATATTAAAAGTAGTTAATCTAACTGATTTTTACCAATAATTATTCTATCAGTACACCATGAAATAATTTCATGAATGATCTTAATTTTGATTGGCTCACAAAGGAATTCACCGATGTTTGACTGCCTCGACTGCACTTTTCTGCCTCTTTGTTGATCAAGCTTGATTTCACAAAATTTTTTTTATGT